ATTTTTCTTTTTTTTTTTTCTAAAACCGGAATGAACTTTTGGGAAAAAAAAAAAGAGAAATTTTCTTTTTAAGGTGTTCGGGGGGGGGGGGGGCGCAGGGGCTCAAAAAAGTCAGGATGGTGGCTATCACAAAGCAAAGCCCTGCCCATTTTTTACATGCATCACAGGGCTTTAATTGCAGGACCATGACTGCCATCCTGACCTTTTTGACTGTCCCCACACTGGACGCCCCTGCACAATTCATTCTGTAGAGAAATTATAATTCCTTTCCATTCTATTCCAACAAGCCGGGTTGTTGGAAGCTGCTGGCCAGGTTGCTCTACAATGCTGAAAGACGCTACAGGAAAAGAAATACTGATTTCTTTCAAGTCAGATCCAGTTCTTTCTACCTTTGCGAGTGAAAGAGAGAGACGAGAGAAGGGGGAGAAGTGACGGAAGGGTCACCATGATGGGACGGTGAGCTGGCAGTGAGACTTTTTGGTGGCCATGAAGCTTCAAGCTGGAATGGCTGGAGCTGTTGCTTTGAGCACACAAGATTACCTCCCCTGAAAAAGGGAGGCTTACAAGAAAATAGGGGCAGAAAATATAATTGACGTAAACTTCCAATATTGTCTGAAATATATCCTGTATTCAACATCTTTATATTGGGGAGTACTGGAGCACTGGGGGGCTGCAGTTCAGCTTTATGAGCCGATCCTAAGCTGATGGGGAGGAAGACACGGAATGCCATGGCTTTGCAATTCTAGGCAGGATAACATCACGAAAATACCCACCCAGCCACCCAAAGACCACTAGAGTGATTATAAACAGGATTTAAGATACACGAAGAAGAATTGGATAAAACATTTTTTTCCCAAACACCTAACTTGCAGGGATCTTTCTACAGATCTGAAAGACAGATACCGTGAACTCTGGTTCATCTGGGTTTTTTGGTGGGGGGCACCTTGGAGTCAGGGTTGCTGTTCTTTTTTGACTCCTGGCAACTGCCTGTTTTCTTGGCAGGATTTTCAGAAGTGGTTCACCACTGCCTTCTTCCCAGGGTTGAGAGAGAGTCTGGCCCAAGGTCACCCAGCTGGCTTCGTGCCTAAAATGGGACTAGTATTTGTGGTCTCCCGGTTTCTAGCCTGATGCCTTAACCACCATGCCAAACTGGCTCTCATAAGGGTGTATCTATCCTACCCTAAAGTCAGTTTCAGCAGTTCTTGTAAATCCACCCCATACACAATTCTTCATGGACTGTTTTTTGCACCTCTATAAGGAACCACACTGATTTTTCCCTCCAACCCAAGTTGTTTAAGGGAAACTGGCATTTCTAGGCTGCTCCCTTATGTCTCAGGTTCTAGAAGGCATTTCAGGGCAACATCCCCTGGAAGTCTAAATTCCCATTTTGTTTGGGATTCCCAGGGTGTGAGGTATTTACCTGCAAGTTATGCTGAACGAATCTCCAGCTTCAACTATAACATAGTCACGGTTGATGTTCAGTTCAGGTTTCATAAGCCTTTCTTGTTTTGCAAGAGCTGAGCCACATGGAGGGAGGGAGAGAGAGAGAGAGAGAGGGATTAGTTGAGAACACTACAATTTCATTTTTTAAATTTTTGTTCCTTATTTTTCCTGCTAAGAGGAGAAAAGTAACAGTAATTGTACAGTCACATGGCTTGGTGGTTTTCTGCAATGATGATAAAATAGAAAGTGATCCTATTCTTTTGCTTCTCTTGGAAAACAGAAGTAACCTCTGATATTGCTCAGTCATTCCACCTAATTCACCAACTGCGTTTCACCAAGATGCACTTTTGAAAGAGTGTAATCAAACTAGTCACCTGCTAATACACAACATGTTCTGAAATGTCCAATCTCAGCACTGGAATAGGAATTTTCTCTTCAAATATGTAGATTTTGGATTGGAAATACTCTTATTGGTTTGTAACTATGGATACGTTTTAAGCAATCATCCATCAGATGTCCTAAATGTCATTTCACATCCCCTGACAAAAATACTAGGTGTACAACTATCAAAAAACACCAACGTTAGAAACAAAAGGAGTAAAACAACCTATTCTTTGTCTATCTTGGGTGTATTTATTTGGTCAGTTCTGACCCTAGCTATCCATTTATCGAACATTCAAGGGGGCTAAGATCTAAAAAATAACGAATTTCAAAAAGGAGGATACAGAATGGGAAAACGTGACAATTAAATATGCAGATACAAATGTCCTTGACAGGTGAACAGTACTGAACGCTGTAAACTGTTCTCATCCACTGTCTTTGGCTGAAGAGTTGCCATGCCAAATAAATCTGTGAGCTAGCATGAATTACATCATATTTATTTATGTGTTCAATTTATATCCCATCTTTTCATTCAGAAGCTCAGGGTGGCATATGTAATGCTACCTCCTCCTATATTGTCCCACAACAGCAACCCTGTGAAGAAGTCATTGGACTGAGAGAGAGAGAGAGAGACAGAGAGATTGGTTCAATGTTCCCCATGGAGCTTCTGTGGTTGGGGGACTAGAACCTGGGTCTCCCTATCTCTAGTTTAACACCTTCACTACGACACCACTGAATCTCTGATATATCAAAGCGACAGAGACTGCCTGATTTATAAATCTTGAGGCACACTGACTCACATCCAAGCTGGGTACACTTAGAAATATTAATTGGACAACAGTGATCATACAGTAATAATTTAAATAAAGTGGCACAATTCTACTTCGAAATCAAAGGCAAGCTACTGTGACATTGGAGGCAATTAATCAAATCAACAGCAGCGAATAAGTAAAAATGGGTTGCACTAACTCTCAACTGGTAACCCTAACGCTGCACCAATGGTTGGAAAGAAAAACTTGGCAACATTCCATGGATTGAATGTGACTTGGATGACCACTAATTCATCCCATACCTATGATGGACAAAGCTCACTCCAAGCCATTCTCAGGAGTTTGAACTAAAAATAACTGTTGTAGCAAATCACATTTATGGTATGCCATCTCCAAAAGGCCCAAATAAGAGAAATAAAGAGAATTCTTTATCAGAAACCTGGGATAGCTGCTGTGTAGAAGATAAAGAAAGCTGTACAAGTCTGTAGCTAAGACAAAGAAGACTCATAGATGGAAGAAGTAGGACTTGTCCTGCATGAAATATAAAATGTACTAAATTTCCCACAACACTGCAGTCCCAAACAATGATATATCTTATGATGTCCCAGTGATGTCTGGGACTGTATATAATTTGCAAGTACTCCCAAATGTTGTTGAACTTTGTAAGTTTGCTGTGTAAATACTACTTCTAACTGTACATGATGAAGTCTTTGGCGGATGGCAAATCGGTTTTGTTCTCTGCCTAAAATTGCAAACAGAAAAGGGCATGAATACCTGTCAAATTGGGGGGGGGGGACCCTAATGGACTAAGCTGGGCTTAGTCAGTCTCAGCCACATATGGGGAGCCAGGAACAGCAGGCATGGGGAGCCACTAATCCATGAGAAAAGCCAACTGGGGCCATAGGCCACAGGGCTAGGAAGGCCCAAAAGTGAGATCCTAGCCAGAGGATGTAAACTTATGGGGTTGCAGTGCTTGTTCTCCTCTCTCTTACCCACACAGACAAGAAGAAAAGAGACCCAAAGCAATAGCCTACAGAATGAGAGTGGATCTTCAATGCGCAAAGAACCAGATGATGCTGAAGGTGCCACAAAATTCAGAAAAACCGTACAAGTTCCCCACAGATCTAGAGAGACTTTGTTGCTTTCCATCCCCTTGGCTCTATGGTTAAAATGTTGTCCATCAAATATCCAACTTAAAGGCTTTCAGGATATTGGAGACAAGGTAACCAAGGTCTTGGACAATCATCTACCTCTCAGGCATTTAAAAAATGTTTTTCTTGATTAACATTCTTTGGCAGTGCTGAGAAGCCGGCAAGTTGATGCTATTAGCATGGCACCAAGAACAGTTCAGAATCCCTAACTGTGTGTGTCTTTAAGCCTTGACAGTTTTTTACAGGATTATATAGGATAGATATAAAAGAAGGAAAGAAAACAAGAAGTGGAAGCAGCAAGGGTGTCTGCAGGGTGTCTTCCAAAAAGTCATGATAGCAGCTGTGATGGTATGATTGAAGATCTGGTTGCAATGCAATCTGTCTGTCTGTCTGTCTGTCTGTCTGTCTCTCTCTCCAAAGTGGTCCCTGTGGTGGCAGGAGCACTTGGGGCTGTGACTCCAAAGCTGGGAGAGGGGCTCCAACAGACCCCAGGAACAACACCAGAGCTCTCTGTCCAGAAGAGTGCAGGGCCAGGAACAGCTCAGATCCTGCACAGAACCCTCAGACTCCCAGGCCTCTGGAGGAGGAACCAAGATAGAGGAAGACACAGACCACCTTATAGGGGTGAGAGGGGATTCTCTCTCTCTCTCTCTCTCTCTCTCTCTCGTCTTTGATCATATCATTGCAGTTGCCATCTTGACTTGTTTGACCAGATCCTGCAGACACCCCTGAGTGGAAGAAGAAACAGATGAAAGGAACATTTGTTCCCACCTATGAAAGCGTGCCTCTGTTCTGCCAAGTGACAGAAAAGGACACTTTGGCACCTGCATCAAAAGAACCTCATTCCCCTTCGATGTCCTAGTGCAGGAACAGAAGACAAAGGTGTTGTGTCATGGGCAACGGACAAATGCAAAGCCAGGGGACCGAATAAGCCAGCTAAGGAATGCTGGGCTTATCAAAACGTCTTCTGAGTAGATGGTGAGCTTTATCAAGCAGGTACTCATCTGGAGCAGCTGAGGTGAAAGACAGAAGCGTCCCAAATTTCTGCTTTGGGATTCACTTTGTGGCAGAACCATGACAGGTGTGAAATGGTGGCTGTTACTAGATACTTTTCCGCTGGTGCTGGAGAAAATGCAAATTTAAGTTGGCATGAAACTGCTGTCCAAATGTATAATTTGGACAGGGTTTTTTTTAATTAACATGTGAAAGTGAAACGGATTTGAAAATACTGTAACTTCATCTGTCCTAGGTTAGTTGAGATATCTGTGAGCCAAATCCATATTTATTTAGCAGTAAAATTAGCCATTCATTCAGAAAGAGCAGGGCGATTGCGCAGTTTGGATTCTGGAAGAATATTCTCCATGGTTCAACCTTCTTCAACCTAACAATCTCCACGGGAGTCCTGGGAATTGAACTCCACAATCTGGAGGGAGCGCAGATTAAGGAAGGCTGCTACAGCTGAACATAATTTTTTGGAAGGATCAGACGCCAAGACTTGCAAGAAACTCCTTCTCCAAGAATCTATAAGCTTAGGGCATCTCCTCACTTTGAACAGCAAACGTGGCAAAGTCTGGCTGTAATTAACTTGCTTGCTTCATGCCCACAAAGGGGGCATCTTCAGGGGCTGCCAACAGTAATAAAATGGGGGGCATGACTGAGGATCAAAACCCTGCCCCTTTTAAACATGCATTGCATGTATGTCAAAAGGTGGAGGGTGTTGATCATGCTAGTTGTGCCCACCATGTTGACTCTGTTGACTCCCCCATGGATGCCCCTAATATCTAGGTTTGTATCCACCCACTGAAATGCATCTGGAAACCCCACACGGCTTGATTTCCTTCCACGGGGTAAGCCAGCAGTCTTTCTCTACCTCACCTGAGATCTGCAATTTACTTCCAACTAAACATACTTACGGTCGTGCTATAAAAGCATCTGCCTGTCTCATATTCCTCTGATAGGGAAATGCCCCTCCTGTGTGGCTTGTCCTTCACCAATTAGATTTGCTCCCCAGAGTCCCCAGAGATGGGGAGGGGAACTATGCTTTCAAAATATTTTCTTTTAGTAGACTTATTACACGGCAGCGCCTCCGCGTCCCACACGGCGCGCTCATTGCAATTCTAACCAACCTAACGGCCCTATTAAATGAGGCCAGTATGGATCAGAAATATGCTTTGTTCCCCCAATGGCTTTGAAACTGCCATTATGGGAAATGTAAAAATCATTTTACGTGTTATGTCTCAGCCAGAATAATTATGACCAGTAATAAAGACTCAGCTGTACAAACGCAAGTAATAATTCTGTTGGCGTGGAGGAAAAACAGATCAGAACTTCGGGGCTTCTATGTGTCCGTGCACACACGTGCATTTGACGTGTGATCAGAAATATTTTTAAGAGACTTCAGAAGGAAACTGAAAAGGATGTGAATGAGGCCGCCTTTTCCCCCAGCAGGAGCGGTGGAAACTATGTTTTGCAGTTGTAAAACTCTAGGTTGAACTTCAGATAGTTGACCCACATTGCACTTTCTTCATCTGCTTTCCCAAACTTCCTCTCTCCCCCTTTTTTTAAACAAAAACGTTTCGTATCTTTTCGTATCTGCAGAATTTGTTTTCCATAGTTTAGTCGGGAATTCAAAGTCTGGGGAATGCATCTGTTTACCTCGCAGGTGAAGGTAAACTGGCCTATTTTCAAACCAATCCACCCATTGAAACCTAGTTTCTAGGCAGAATTTACAGCTCTCTCACTCTTCTAATACTATCTGCTGCTTTTTAAAAA